GGCATTTGCGCAATTTTTTTTAAGATCCGCAATGCTCATTGATCGTTTTGCCTTATAACTTCTTCATTCATCTACATTTTGTTATTCCTAAAAATTTTATTCCGATTCTAGTTAATTGCCTTTTCTGAGTGAGAAAGTCTGATTTTACTTCAAATTTCTCCTAAAACATTAGTATCAGCGAGTTTGATGTTATGATTCGAAGACAAGCAACTGTATACTACTCCCTGTTGTTTCCTTAATGCCACATATCGCGCTTAGGCAACTTCTCTGTCATCATATAATTTTCATGGTTTAACTAGAGCTCTCATAATTTCCATCTTGCATTTACTCTCTCCCATTAGGTTTTGTTTCTGTATTTGTGCAATTGCATTATAGCCAATTATATATTCACCCACTTAGTTCCTGTCTATATCTGGTCATTATCTGAGCTATAAGGAGTTTTCATATCTGGAATATCCTTTACTGGTCTATTCCGGTGAGTTCGTCCACTCGGCGGTCCTTCAAGGTGTATCTTCCGTGATTGAAGTATCTTATTGAACGCCACTTTTACACTTGAGATGATTCCGATGATTGCATATTAGACTCTATTAGGTTTGTTGATGCTCAAATAAGTTGAGACACCTTTGTCTATTCTGTCCTGGAGCACCTGGTCTATGGAAAATTGTTTAGGTAACTGTCATTGCGTTTGCTTCCTCTGTTATAGGGCCAGAGACCTGCTGATTGATAGAGCTAAGGTTTCGATGACTAAATGCTTGTTGATTTAGCCTGAGCTGTGTGGTTCAATTGGTAAACTGTGGGCTATTCAGCCATTTTGATCGGCTTGATGATACCTTTTTTCGTATATAAGTAGAGTTTCGAGGCTACTACTCATATCATTGTGAGAAAATTCTACTACCAGTCCTTCATCACCTTAAACGAATACATCTCATATTGATGATACTATGCCTTATGGTTAAGTACAAGAATGAATATGTCTATTTCGCCGCAAAATTGCCTATATTTCTCCATTCCGAATTGCTTATTTTATGTCATTTTTTCGCGTATTTATTCTCATGCTTTGTGAAATGATTTGTGTCGATTTAATACTTTTGTAGACATGAAGACCAATATGGTGTAGCCTTTTGTTTGGTTGCAGTCTCCTTTAGCTTTATAGTGTTGGTTCAACCTTGTTTTCACAACTTGGTTGCAGCATCAGATGGACCTTGTGGAACTTACCTGGTATTGTGTCCTCTACCATAGTATTCGTGATTTCTAGCTTCGGACCATTGACTTGGTATATTCCCAAACGTTTCCCTGGCACCTGGTACCGGTATTGGAGATAATTACGTCTTACAAAAACCCACTTGTAACGACACACTCTTAGGCGACATTGGAGGAAACGAGAGCACAAAATAGTTTGAATAGGTAGATTAGCAATAAGAAGCGGGGTTGAGAGAAAAAGATGCAGTACTAGACGATATAACGGAAACTAGGGGCAATGAACGATGGCAAAGCGGTTGAACATAAAATTGGTCAAAGGGATTGCCTTCGCCCGTCACTTTGATGAGCTGTAACTCTGCGCTTACGATGGTGCTTCTCGATGACGAGGCCGGCGAAACAATTGGGATTGTTCAAATTCAATGGTCCTATGTTGGAAATCACGAATACTATGATGGAGGACACCGGATTAGGTACGATCCACAAGGTCTCCCTTATACTGCGACCAAGTTGCGAAAACAAGGTTAAACCCAAACTAAATTTATTTGGTCCATCTTATTCGCTATTTTCACCATCATCAATGCAATCCTTTCATATACAACATTTTCTCCTAATGGCTTATTGTACCGTGTGGTCTCGCTTATCTATAGTAGAATTTGCATACCGTTGATGGTACCACAGAATTGTACATTTACGAAGAACAAACATGCAAATTCCAAAATTGCTGTCACTTGGCCACATTATTCCTTATCGTCTAAAGCAGTGGTTCCCAAACTTTTCCTAGTCGCTGCGCCCTTTTTCAATTAAAATTTTTCCATGGCGCCCTACCCTAAGTATGACTATTCATAAGTAAGAGATATAAATAAATAAAACATGTGTATCTTCATTATTTTTTACTTTATTAGCATTAAATTGATATTTAAGAATTAA